ACCTATTCATGACTCACAGTTGTGAGTCACACGATGTTATGATTTTCGCACATGACTCATACTTATGAGTCATGGGTTTTATTTAGGCATGTAGCGCAGCGACTCATAGGAGTCGCCTGATGGATTTCATATGACTCACGGTTATGAGTCACAGGGTTTGCGTAACGCGAGGTATGAGTCACGCCAGGTGAAGAGCGACTATATAAAGGATCACTAGGACCCTGGGTATGAGCTCTTTACACGTTCTTCTTGTTTATTTCCTACCTTTAAGTTATTATCAATAAAACCTACCTTTATGCTCTTTAAGATTTATCTTAAGAAACCCAAGAATTGTCTTTCCTCCCAAGCGAGAAAACTATTTCTCCTCCCACGTCGAACGACTAAGTCCTGAGTGAGGACTAAGAAGAAGAATAAGAAGATAGGTGCGAACAAGATAGTAGTCATAGGACTGGACTATCTGGATCGCGTAGGCATAGGCCTGAGAACTATCATCTTACATCAAGAGAAGTATCATTACCTGTCACTAGGTCCTACCCGGTAGGATTCTTAACAAAGCCCTTGGTATTCAAATAAACTAAAAGAAGTCTAAATACATTATGAAATGTGATGATTAATACTAAGAAGTTATACAAATTATTAGCTAGCATGTCTACTTCTACTATTTAAATAATTTTTGTAGTTATAATCTATGCTATTTAATTATGTTACTTATCATTATAATATATAATAAATCAATCCACTATTACCTCATAGTCAAATCTTCCCAATTATGCAATTTCAATTAGACAAGTCTCAGAGTACAAACACTTCTGATTAGTGGCTGTAGGATATCTTATATTACCAAGTATTATTAGTTTAATTATTTTTTAAGCTTAACCAATTTGGATTTAATGGGATCCAAATTAGGGTAATACGAGAAGTGTATTTCAAAATGAATGCACTGACAGAGTCATCCCAGAATTTAAGAAATCAGGATGATATTCTAGAGTTAATAGAAAAGGGAAATTGCTATCTCTTCTTAGCATTAATCATTTTTCTGCATGATATATTTAGTTTTCTTTTAGTTTATTAAAATACTAGTGGCTATCTATTTCATGTTTAATAATTATGGTTAAAAAAATCAAAAAATAAGAGCAGCACAGAACCCTACAGAAATAACCTCACAGTTGCAGGATCTTCATTGGTACTAGTGGGTATCCTCATTGTTGCAAGGAGGTAGCTTTATTACTGTATTATGAATAGATAGTTGTTGTGGGATTTTGGCAAGGCAGCTTACTAATACAGTATCACGAACACTTATGACGAGTGGCTGTACTATGTGCACAAAACAGAGAAAGAGGGCTCAAGATATTGGCCCCGAGAATCAACCCGATGGCCACCCAAAACATCACTCCTGGAAGCACCTATGAGATCCCCGATACCAGAGCCAGTGGCTCTGGTACAATACATTCAACCAACTCCGAGAATGGAGTCGAGGAGGAGGGGGGCGAAAAAACATAGATGTGTGAGACCCAGGAAGACGAGGCATGTCTCCTAAGAAGGGATGGAGAAGGAGAAACCAGAGACAATGATAATGAAATTGTTGGCAGAGGTGGCAGAAATGAAAAGGGTGATAGAATGGCAAGCAGAAAAAATAGGACTGCTCCAGAGTGAGCTAAGAGAGGAAAACAGGATAAGGAAGGCACTCCAGAATGACTGGAGGATAGAAGAGAAGGAGGCGGAAAAGGCTGTGATGAGAGTAAGGAAAGTCAGTGCTTGGTTGAACAAGGAAACCAGGTGGGGACTCCCGGTGGATAGCGCATGCAAATTGGAGGAAAGACTGATATAAGTCCAATGGGACTCTGGCTGAGGGAGAGGGGAGCTAATGTCACAAACAGTAACTAAGCAAGGCAGATTTCACCTAGCTTGGAATTCTGAGCTATAGGTATGTTGGGATGTCACATGACGCACACTAGTGCGCTACAGGTTATTATGTTTACCTGTTCATGACTCACAGTTGTGAGTCACATGATGTTATGATTTTCACACATGACTCAACTTAAGAGTCATGGGTTTCACTCAGGTGATGCAAGTTGCGCACCTGACCTATTATGTTTTGATTGGTTTCAGGTATGTTGCACAGTGACTCATAGAAGTCAGCTGATAGATTTCGCATGACTCATAGTTATGAGTCACAAGTTTTGCGTGACACAAGGCATAAGTCATGTCAGGTGAAGAGCTACTATATAAAGGGTCACTAGGACCCCAAGTATGAGCTCTTCACTTATTCTTCTTATTTATTTCCTACCTTTATCTTTTATCAATAAAACCCACGTTTATGCTCTTTATGATTTATCTTGAGAAACCCAAGAATTGTCTTTCCTCTCAAGTGAGAAAACGATTTCTCATCCCACATCGAACAAATTAGTTCTAAGCGTGGACTTAAGAAGAATAGAGAAATAGGGGTGATAAGATAGAAGTCAGAGGACTTGACGATTAGTATCATGTAGGCAACGGGCTAAGAATTATCGCCTCAGCACGAAGTAAAAATTGTTATCTGTCACACTCCCGCACCCAGTAGGATTCTTAACATTTTATTATAATTTATGGGTTATGAGAGATATTAGCTAGATCATATACCAGTTTGGCACGACTAGGATAAATAAATTTAGATTGAATCCTACACTTATTATTTTACAATAAAACATCTTTATACTCTCTACTCTACTTTAAGATGCTGAAAACTATTTCTCCTCCCCTCCTCCAATGAAAGACTAAGTCCTAAACAAGGACTTAAGAAGATTAAGGTGATAGGTATGATAGGATAGAAGTCAAGGGACTTGACTATCCACCTTATATAGGCAACTGTTTAAGAGCTCTCACCTTACTGCAAGGAAAGAATCCCTACCTACTATACCTCTATGCATAGTAGGATTCTTAATTGTATAATACTAGCAACTGTATTTATTACTCAGAATCTCAGGATAGTAACTACTCGGCGTCACTTACTTAAAACACAATCTGGATGTCTTACTTCCTAACCTAAGTGCTAGGATACATAGGACACAACCAGGCTTGGTGCACAGGTACTGGACCCACAGGATGTACTGAATGCAGAATTCTTCCTGCTTATGTCAGAATGTACTGCGTATGCCTCTGATGCTGGAATAATTTTTTCCAATGAATGTAGACAAAGAGGATCTGAATAAAAGTACATTTTTTTGAATTAGTTAAGATAACTTAAGAGAATAGTATACTCATTTAAAAAACTGAAGATTTGGTGTAAGACTAAGGTCTTGGCATTGGAATGCAACCTGAAAAGGCTGACTAACTTGAACCATATTCTATAAAGATAGATGGACTTGTCAAAAATTAACAAATACATACTAACATTCCAAAGCTATTCTGAATGATATAAGCATATTAGAAAGATATTAGTTATATACTATGTTAGACCTCAAGGACAGTTTCGACATCCTCCGTCTCCGCTACACCTCCAGCAATTGAAAACTCAACACTATAGTTACTATCATGACTTTCATCGTCTAGCACCACCACACCCCCCCATCTCCCCCATCTAGCCTCGGCTACTGGAGGTGGGCTCGCTCTCCCTCTCCCTTGAGGCCTCTATTTATTTATTGGCTCTCTTGGTTCTATCCTTGGTTAGGGTCTTTCATTTTCGTGATGTTTCTCCTCTTCCTACCCCACCTTGCTTAGGTGTTGGCACAGTCGGCAACCCCTTTTTTCACCTTCAACAGACGGCCGGGACTACAGTTGCAGTAGGAGAGAACAGCTTACAGGCTACGGTCGATTTCTCCATTCTCTTGCCCACATAAGAGGCCGCCTAGTTGGACACAAATGCAGTTACCGATAGTTGTCGCTCACGGAATTGGGTCTACCCCTCCTCTACTCTTTGGTACCTTTTTGACTGGCAGGTAGTGGGATTCCTTCCACTACAGTGATGCTATCTCTCCCAGAACAAGGGACTACATGAGAGATGCAGTAAAACACCTGCTTCGCTTAGGGCTCCTCTGCACGGTTGAATCAGCTGGCACCGTACTACCTCCTCCTCTCAAGCTGGCACTTTACTACCATAATCATCGATTGTCCTGGAGGATACACAGCCACTGGCACTCCTGCCACACACCTCCTCTCCTCACTTCTCGGTCGCCATCTTCAGGGTGGTTTCCCTTATACCCTATGCGCCCGGGGCTTCGGCTCCCTCCTCCTGGCCCTTGTCATATAGCCTAGGAGTTTCTATGATGGATTTGAGTTGTGGCCATTGGCCCTTAGGGGTTCAGTTTGGGTTTCTGCCTTTAGGTGTTTCATTCTTGGGGTTGGTTGCGTTCTTGGTTCACTGTCAGGTAGTTAGCTTTTATTTGTAGCTTGGCGGTGGGGTTTATTGGGTGGAGCAGTTTACAGAAAGGATTACAGGCAGGAGTAGTTTTTTCTACCCCAGAAGGTTTTTTTGGCTCTGTTGTTCGGCCTGGTCCGGGGGGGGGCGGTTTTTTAGGCATCATAGCTAGCGCTCCATATGTCTTTTTGTCCCATAAACAAATAATAAAATGAGTCAAGCAAAAAAAAACAAAAATCAAGGACAGTTTCGAAAACATATTGGAGCTATCAGAGAGTATGAAACTCTCAATATATTATATTTAATTAATGTGTTTTAATATCTTTTACTCCTTATTATATATTATTTACTTCAGTTTATAATCTTATTACTCAAGGTCTTGGAAGTTATTTTGCACAGACACAGTTGCATTTTCGCTGTACCACATGGTTCACATTCTTCAGGTGTTGCACTATATGTGTCATACATGGTCGCTGGTGTGAGTCACACCGACTCCTATCTGCGACCGTACAGGATAAGCGAGTCGTTCTAATTTTAACATGGCGGGGTCGAGTATGATCACAAACAAAGGTTCTCCCGTTTCACAGCTTACCTGGTCGGCCTTCTGGACGCAAGATTTGTCATCTCCGGACGCATAATGCTTGCAAATAACTTAGTGAGCCCTCGTAATTACATCATATCTTCCCTCCTTCTCCCTGCTGATGGTGATGTCAAGCACCGCATCAGGGAGTACTCGTACGAGCATCCCAGAGTAAGCTCACATGCAGCCCCTATAAAGTCCTGCATACCCCGCTCTTGAGAGCATAAAACTTCATGTTCTACCGCCCCTTTTTCCGACAAACCTTCTCGCACATATCTAGCCCTTCGGTGACCCCATCAAGTTTATTATCTCAACCGAATTGTAGAGCAATGGTACAACTTGACCCGTTTCGGTAGAGATTGAGGTCGCTAATCGGCTTTGATAGTCTGCTTCTAGCCAGAAAGTGACCGATTGGGTACCTACGGTATGGCTTCCCCACCGCAGGAGTTCCTCATTACTAACCAAAACAACAATATCAACAGGACTCTAAAAGTGGGGAATTCATTCGCAAGCCCGTAAGTTCCTCCGCTCGATCACAGATCAGTTCTCACGATTCCCTCCAGTCCTCCTTCTCCGACCTGGTTTCTCGTGAGCCCAATACCAAATTCCCTGCTGAGAGAGGCCGTTACCACCTCTATGTTAGCTATGCCTGCCCATGGGGTCAGTCACCCTATCCGATCCGAAGCGCCCGCACTAACAACCCTCAGCGCACCGAACCTTAATCACCCGCGAGCTTAAAGGCCTACAGGGAGTAATCGGTGTTAGCGTAGTGCACTGGCACTTGGGGGAAAACGGCTGGCGTTTCGGTACCATCGAAGAGGCCGCGGAGTATCCAGAAGTGGCTATCAGTCCGGAAGCAAACACCGGGGCATCATTCTTGAGGGATCTTTACTTCAAGGCCCGGCCGGATTATGATGGTCGCTACACGGTGCCTACGTTTTGGGATAAGAAGAATAAGACTATCGTTTCCAACGAGAGCAGTGAAATTATCAGATTTATGTACACCGAGTTTGACGACCTTATTGATGAGAGCAAGAAGGGGGTCACGTATTATCCTGAGGAGCTCAAGAAGGAAATTGATGAGCTGAATGAGTGGGTTTATGCCACTGTGAATAACGGCGTCTATAGAGCCGGGTTTGCGACGCAAGTGATCCCCCCGAAAGCGTGCGCGAGATGGCCACTAATACCCCGATAGGAAACAAGAAGCCTACGACGTAGCCGTCACAAAACTCTTTGAATCTCTCGACCGTATTGAGGATATTCTCAGGGACTCGGATGGGCCATATCTTCTTGGAAAGGTTCTCACAGAGGCGGATATTCGTTTGTATCCTACCATTGTCCGCTTTGACCCGGTATATGTCCAGCATTTCAAGTGCAACCTTCGGATGATAAGACATGAGTACGAAATCCTTCCCCCATCGCGCTATATATGCCCAGGGTTGTGAATAGGCTTATTGTGGTACCACAGTTACCCCGCAATCCACAAGTGGATGAGGCACCTATATTATGACATTCCGGGATTCAAGGAGACGACAAACTTTGAACACATCAAAAAGGTATAAAAAACAAATCTCGTGGATTGGTACATGAGTTTGTTCGCTAACGAACTCGGTAGCATTACACAAAGTCACACAGCCAGGTCAACCCCAAGGGGATCACGCCCCTCGGCCCAGTCCCGGATATCATGCCGAAGGACACTGAATGAAGACTTTTTACCGGTTCATGTGTCGGGGGCTCATGGACGATCGATTATATAGTACTGTAGCTATTCAGTGTCGGTATCAATTACCGACCGTTCACCGATATTTCCATGTCCGGAGACTTGCCCGTGTGCCTACCTACTCTCGCCGAAATAAAAGTGAACCATATCAACTACCTTTAGCGCCCACTCAGGACCCTCCAGACATTCGCGATCCATCCCAATATTGACTCTGCCTGTCTATGAACGCGTAACCTTTGCTACCGTATATGGGCTGAAAGCAAGCAAGTCCACATGTGTTCGGCCACAGAACGATGAAAATTTCGCATCCCGTCCGCTCTGCGGTAAACAAGCATCGTATCGACCGGTTAGTACTACAGTGGGTGACCATGTGGGAATCCCGGTTGCTGAACTCTTCTTTTTTTCTTTCTTTTTTTTTTCGCCGCCTCTTGAGAGGGAAAAGCTAGGGCTGAGTTGCCAGTTTTGTTTTCGCTCTCGGCCCCAATATCGGGGGATTGGGTGTGGGGGTGACAATGGGATGTTGCGCTGTTCGGTAGGTATCAGGGGATCGCGAGTGACAGTGGGTGATTTCCGGGGGAGGCGTCACGGCGAGGAAACGGCGAAGAGAGGTGACGAGTGACAGAGTTTGGAAAACCGGGGTCTCACCTGCGCTGGATCGTGTAGGGTATCGACCACCGAAGTCAGGATAAAAGTGGGAGAGCAGAAGGTCAAGAGAGTAAGGGGGAAGCGGGCAAACGCGAGAGCAGGAGGGTATAGCAACGACGGAAATTGTGGGAACACCACACCTGCGCGGCCCCTTGACAATATAATGCCAGGGATAGCCTCGTGAATGCGGACGCGGATATGGTAATGGCACGCCCAGGGTAGTCCCGTGCAATCGACACCCGAACCCGCTCACATCGTCCCAGCAAGGTAGAGTACCGTAGGTATGATACCTAGCTACCGTACTGCACAACCCGTGCGTCTCCGAAAGTTATAGATATAGCAACCCGCGAGATAGCCGGAACGAATAGACTAGACACCAAAAGAACAGACCAGGACCCCCCCCCCCCCCCACAAGCTTTACGAGTTATCGAGTGATCTTTTGCAGAGGGATGATAGGTACTGTATGCATTGAATCATATCATACAATAACCAAACCGCCCAACCCTAACCCACATCACCTCCCCATCCCAGCGGAGGATCCTGAGGATTTCCAAAATATCCCAAACCTTAACTTATCTGCGATACCACCCACGGTATGATAGACACGATACCCATCCAAAAGCCTCACATCCTCTCACTCGCACCAATTGCCAAACCACCACAGCCAAACCAACCACACCCCGAGAATTTATCACCATATCACACCACACCCATTTTTTAAAAAAAAAAAATTAAAAAAAACGTATACTGGCAGCACAACCACATCTACCGTACACACACATACCTACGCACACGTCGGTCGGTCAGCCCTGCAGTAGCTCGCACCGTGCAAGCACCACATCGTCGTCATCAATCCCGGGTTGATTCTTTTTTTGTTTCGTTTTCTTACCCCTTCCGCGCCTGGAGAAGGGGAGAAACGAGGTATGAGTGGGTATCCGCTGCTAACCAAACCAAAAGCTTTCCCTGTCATACGTATCGTACCGTACTCGCGTGTACCTACTCTGCCCTACCTTAGCGGCGCGGTATGCAAAGGTAGGTAGGTAGGTAGGTAGGGGAGGGGAGGGGAGGGAGGGGGAAGAAGGGGAAACAAGGCTCCAAAAACATGTCTATACTGTACAGTATACCGTACGGTACTGCACAGGCAGCTTGACTTTGTCTTCGTTGGCTGGTCGGTTCGTGCGTAAGGGCCGGAAGGCGATACCAGAAATGGCGGCATCTACCGTAACAGTAGGTAATGCAGAATTGAAAATTTGTCGAAGGGGTGGATGGATGGATGGATGGATGGATTGACGGATGTGCATGGGTATCGCGTGGCAGAATGTCTTCTGCCAGGTGGTCTTTGAGATGTTGTGCCGTTTGGTGAGGATTTTCACTACCCTTTTTTTTTTTTTCTACTTATTTTTTTTCCGGAGGGGGTGGGGGGGAAGATGTTTGATGATGGATTGGTGAAGGATGCCGATGTTGCGAGTACCGTGATCAGGGTGAGAATTATGGATGGAATTTGCTGAGGTATTGTATGTACGGTATATACGGTATCATACTGCTACGCTGGGACGGGAGGATCGGGCTTGGCCATTCTTTAGTCACTGTTTTTTTTTTCTTTCCTTTCCTCCGCCCCCGTAGGAAATCGGGGTTTTATTATTTCTGGTCAAAGTACTGGTACGCCAGGAGAGATGTCGAGTATCATAGGGGATTTCAGCAGCAAAATAATGGCGGTGATGATGATTGGATAAAAGGGATAACGGGGTTGAGAAAAACTACTTTCGGATTGTTCTTGTACGAGTACCGTAGGGGAAAAGGTGGTTGGTTAGTATGATACAACATCGTAAATACCATAGCATGCAAACGGAGCAAGTTATCAATTGAAGTGCTCGATGCTTCTCACCTGGACTTCTTAGTCTGGTAGTGTTGAGTTGTCAGTCCCTCGAGTGAGTGAGGGAGGAATACCATCCATAACTTTAGCTGTTCCCTCTTTTGTGTGTGAAACCGCCAATGGCCGGAATTCCTTGTCACCCTGCTTTGCCTTTAGCCAATGGGCACGTCCCGGAACCATTTATCGAGCAAGGCAAGTATCATTGTATCATATCATACTCATAGGTAAGTTAGGCATGAGAGTCGTCGCACACACACCCCCTCCCCGACACGTGACCGATAGACATCACTTCCGCCCCGGAAGTGCTTGTGCTTTCTTTCTCTCTTGCGCTTTGAAATAATATTATAGTCTAAAAGAACTGGACATGAAGAGAGAGAAAAAAACACGTAGTGATCGCTGTTGGTGATGCAGATATCTCTTATGCAATAGCTCAGCCTGCTAACTAACTAACTATCATAACTGATAGAGTCCGGCTACCTACATCACAGCGCGAGCATATCACGGCGTCCTTTTTTTTTTTTTTCCTCTCTCCGTGTCTGCTGATATATACCAGATTCACTCTCCACCGCATCAATCTCCACTTCCATATATCGTAATGTGCTCCGAGAACGGCACGGACGAGAGAGGGTTACAGTCATTGCTGGCAGGCAGGCAGGCAGGCGAGGCGGCTAGCTATGATAGCTAGCTCTACGAGCGTGTCCCATTGACCGAGCTGACGGGTAGCCGATTGGTTCTCGGCTGGCGTTGGGAGTTTATCGGTAGCGATATCATAATCGTACAATATTGGAAAGTTTTCTCATTGGCATGACGGCATTCCTTGCATGGGCACAATGTCATGAGAGCTTTTTTTTTTTTTCCTTAGCCCTCCCCCGGAAGGCTATCATACTTCACGTCATGTAGACACTGCAAAAGGTGCAGCAGGGCTGAAATGTGCTGTTATTCTCCTCTCCCTCTTGAACACAGCACTCGTATTATACATACAGTAAGAGTACCCGTACGGGGGAGGGGGAGGGGGAGAGGGGGTCGAAAGCCAGCACTGCAAAGCAAAGCAGTGAAAATTTCGGCACACAAGCTCGATACCCGGATGCCGTTGCCCAGCACCAAGACCAGCGCCAATGATCTTTGAAAGATTTTTCCCTCTCTCTCTCTCCCTAGCTGACCGACCGACGGGGCTCCTGCCAGGGGGAAAAAAAAGAAAAAAAAAAGGGTCAAACCTAGCATACACGATGCGAACGAGTTCTTGAGTACATACGGGTATCTGTCTGTCCGAGCAGAACAGCGAACGATCCGTCCATCCATTGGCTTCCCTTCTCTCTCTCCCTCTTTTTCTTTCTTTCTTTCCTTCCCTCTTTCTTGGTTAGCGAAAGCGGATTAATATATAAAGACAGCTTTCAGCCCAATTAACAATCCATATGATAATACAAACTCGTACGGTTCAGGTTACATTGCGGCGCCAACAGTTCGAAATAATTGCACGAGAAGTCTGCTCGGTCGGTCGGTCTGTCGGTCGGCAGGTGGATGGATGGGCGGTTGTTGTGCGCTGCAGGATGACTCCCCCCGTTCTCCTGCCTGTCAAGAATATGTGTATGACGATGATCTGCAATGCTACATGTGAGCGTGAGAGGAGCGGAATATATATTCACCGTAAACGCTATATCCGAGATGTTTGAAAACCGTGTTCCACTTTTCGCCTTTGTTTTTTTGTTTTTTTTCCTTACCGCGAAAATGCATGTCTGATGTTTTCGGGCCTTTTTTTCCTTTCTTTTGCTCAACAAAGAGAAGAGAAGAAAAAAGTGAGATGAAATGATCGACTGTCTGCCAAGAAAATTATGCTGGTGGGTAGATCGAATTTTCTTGACCTCTTTACTTTTTCTTGCATCATTTTTTTCTGTTCTGGTTAAACCATAATAATATTATCATAAATTCTACATCACGGGAAGTACTAGTACAAGAGGAGGATCCCATTAACCGGAACGGGCAGGATATATCTGTCCGGAAAACCTCAAATAACCGTTCCATAACTCCTTGCTGGACCTCGCAACTCACTCCCCCCCCCCCACTTTATCCAAGAAATGATGTGTGTAGCGATGTACCCGTATGCCCAGGCATCTCCCTTATCAGGCGAAAAAGTGCACACGCGCCCAACGCTCTCCGAAATTACAACTTCCTTTTTGTCAACCGATAACCAATTGGGAGGGATAACTTCCTTTTAAAAAACTGATTGTTCCCACACGCATCTACGCACTTTAACCCCCCCACCTCTCCCCTCTCCCCTTTTCCCTCTCTCTCCCTCTCGTGCCCCCCTCTCTCTTACTCGCCCAATCTATTAGCCAGCTGCAGAAAACTCAGAGCATCGCCTTTTTTTTCCTTTTTCTACCATTCCCAGAGTATTGGTTCCACGCCGACCCTACGACAAAACTGAAATTCCGAAAACAAACACCATGTCTTCTGAATACATACGGATGGGCCGTGGCGGTGCTGGAAACATGATTTCCAGGGAGGAGATTCAGAAAAAAGTATGGTAGAAAACAAATACCTCGGTAATGATCGGGCTACCCAGCCCCATGCCTCCAGGAAAGGAGCGATTGTGAAAAGGGGTAGGCTGTTTAGGGCTGAGGCTAAAGCCCATGTCATGATATAGGAAGAGGACCTGGAAGCTCAACAATCGGAAGCAACGGGTTCAGCAAACCAGCTTGCTGCAGACCAGGCAGCTGCCCCTCCGCCGGGCGAATACAAACACATGTAACTAACCCCTTACCCTAGCGGCAGACCCCACCACCTCCCCGCTACCCCACACTTACCTCACATGACCAAACGCATGGCAGGTCTAACCCCGGTCCCCCTCAAAGGCTAACGAACCCGTCATGAACAATTAGGGGCCGTGGAGGTGCCGGTAATTGGTTCCAACCATCAGAACTCGCAGCCCAAGGGGCCACCATCACGGATACTGTGTCGATAACACCAACACCCGAGCCAGCAATCGAAACTCAAAGGCCTGTGTCCCTACGGCCATGGCGTGGCCGTGGAGGTGCCGGAAACTTTGCTCCGGACAGCGAAGAGGCACAGGCGGCTGAGAAGGAGGAATTGGAGAGGAACCAGCGGCAGCAGCAGCTGGAGGAGGCGGACGTCAGGGCTAGTGTTGACTCCACGCTTTCAAAGCCGAGCCAAGCGCACTTGAAAACGGGGGAGAAGGGGTGGGACGTTACAGGGTGGAAGGAAGCTGGATTGTAGAAGCGACTGAGGGGGTGGAATGAGAGGGGGGGTTACGTTAGCAGGAGGGATGATTTTTTTGGATTTCTTTGGATGCGGGTATTGGTGTTTCTCCAAATATATTTAAATAACGACTGGGGAGAGATGGGGGGGTTGGGTGGATGGATTGTAAGATCCGCGTTGACTTTCGATTTTCACCCTTCTCTTTACAGATTTTTTTCTTCACAATCGGTCCTAAAGCAAATCAAGGCAAAAAAAAAAGGGGGGGAGGCCTTTGCTTGTGCTTACACGCACAGTGCCGTACCATACTTTTTTACACGAGGTTTGCTTTCCTTCACATCCTCATTCCATTTTCACATTGGTTTTTTTTTTCTTTTTACCTTTGATTCTTTTCTATCAATCGTTTCCAGACGTAATTTCATGCCGCGCCGTGGTGGCGGCGGTGGAGGTGCTGGTTTCTTGGTTCAAAATGAGTGATCGGCTTCGCTTTTGCGTGCATACCGTGGGGAAACTTTGATTTTCCTGCACGCCATCCATCCATCGTCCACCACGCCCGATATCTGACGAACCAGACCCCTGGCAGCCGATTTCCCGCACCTGGCACTTACAGTACAGGCACCAGCACCACTATCCATCCCTCCATCCAGCCATCAAATCTATCGAAGGGGTAAAAAAAAAAAAATCTATGCTCAGCTCATCCGGATCCGAGACCAAAATTAAAATGCTGGCACAGGATTTGACCGAACTAGAGGTTACGCTACTACTACTCTGGTACAGCATTCCATTTCGAATCCACCGAACTGTACTCGTACAGTACTCGTACTGTACCGTGGCGATCACATTGGAATCTAACACTTGGGCGTGCCAAAAAAAATCAAGGAAAAAGAAGTATCACGCCCGGAAAAATAACCCCTCTTCTACGCCTCGGTTTTACCCTTCTTTCCCCAGATACCGGTGGTATGATACCATGTAGCAGCACTCTATCGTCGATCAGATATTCGTCCCGGATCTGGGATAAAGGGTAAAAACAAACTTATTCGGTCCAAGGGGGGGAGGAGATAAATAAACAACCCCCCAATATCTGTATGATATCATAATATCATGGGCAGACCATATGTACTCGTACGGTACAGTACCCTAACCTCTCCCTACTGTACGGCAGCCAACACAACGAACGGTTAATCCCCCCCCGATACCGGTACCATACCATCATCGCCCACTGTTAGCCACTGTAGCGTGGCCAAGATATTGGGATTAAAGTTATCATAGGTTAAGCTGGGCATGATACAATACTTTTATCCCCCGTGGACGATATGATACGGTACTGGTACAGTACACTACTTCTGCTACCACAGCCTGCACCCACATAACAAAATCACACCCAAGCACAAAAACACCAGATTGCCGAAAATTGCCGCAAAACAAAAAAAAAGGGAAGAAGGGGGAATGAAAAAAAATCGAAAAAATCGTCATCGTACTTTTATCCTATACCGGCACCCTACTGTCTTGCACCCTGCCTTACCGCTAAGTTACAAGTACGGTACTAACCGGTATGGCATATTATTATTATTATTCATCCACATGATTATTTTTCTTTCTTCCCCCCCCCCCGCCCGCCCCACGGTGATGACACCAAACAGCGACGATGAATTGTATTTACTCGACTTTTACCATTCATGTGGAAGATTACTATTAGCGGGAGGGAGGTTCGCAACTGGGCTGATAATTCCCCACCCCTTCCTCTGTCTATGATACGGTTTGGTACCGTATTCATATTTGGAGTGTCGAGGTGGGGCCCTCCTTAATACTGCACTGCACCATCCACGAAGAGAACATCCGGCCGGCTGGCTTGTCGGGTAGATCTTTGGTATCGGTATCGAGCGACGAGCGGTAGTATCACAGTTCCTGTCTGTTGAGGGAAAAAAAAAAAGCCTACCGTAGTTAGGTGTGTGTGTGTGCGGGACAGTTAGTTATTAAACTATAGTTACAAGCACCAGGCAAGATGTTTTCGTACAAGGTTTGCCAAGAAAGCAGGTGGGTAGTGGTAAGAGAAGCAAAAATGTTGAACAGCAGAACAGTGTGACATCGTGACCTGTAAGACACCAACAGCCTGAGAATATGTTGTTAGTCAAAAGCGAACCATGAGGGCTCCTCCAAAGTATATACATAAATAAAGTGATATTTTATAGTTTTAGAAAAATTAAAACATATGATATGGTACAAACTCCTCCTCTATTCAATTATCACAAAATGCCTACATCTACGAGATCAAGTCCCGCTCCAGGATTGAATAGTTCTAGAACAATTTCTCCTGATCCTATCATTCCTCAAGTTATTATTACCACCTCGCTACGCTCTAAGATACAATGCCTGCGGAAACAAGCTGAATGGACATTTCGTCGAATTGCACAAGAGGTCGGTATTGCTGTGAGCACCGTATTCTCAGTCTGTCAGGCACCCACTACACCCAAAAAAGTCAAACTGGGCAGGCCAAAGTCCCTGACAACTCCAATCCGGAAAAGACTTATTGACTTTGCTACAGCAAGTCAATCCAACCGCCGTTTACCCTATACGGAGGTGGCTGAACTTGCTGGAGTAAAGGCTGATATACGCACTCTGCGGACAGCCTTTGCTGGGGAAGGCTATCATCGGCGAGTTGCTCGTGCGCGCCCATTTTTATCACGTAAAGCAAAAGAAAAGCGGCTTGACTGGGCCCAACACTACGCTGATTGGACCCGTGCAGATTGGAAAAAGGTTTTTTTATTTCCCTTACTTTCTTATCCTCAGACTTATCCTTACTATAATGTACATAAACTAATACGAAAAAATTTAATACCTTTAGGTTATTTGGAGTGACGAATCTGCATTTAATGTAGGAGGGTTGTCAACTAGTGGCCGAGTATGGGTTACAAGGCAGGCAGGAGAAGAAGATTTGGAAGATTGCTTGGTTCCAAAATTTAAAAAATTAGAAACGGTTATGGTCTGGGCCTGTTTTAAAGGACATGAAAAAGGACCATTGATTTTTTGGAACAAGGAACAATGGGGTAAGACAATCAATGCGTCCTCATTTTCTACATATATAGTACCGGAATTCTACCAGTTTTGGCAGCAGCAGTCCCAGCTGCAGCTGGATTATGTTTACCTACAGCAGGATAATGCAAGTCCTCATCAGGCGGTCTTTACCCAGAATAAACTTCGAGATCTTGGGATCTGGGGCTATTTTATCGATTGGCCTGCCTCTTCTCCGGATTGCAGTCCTATTGAAAATGTATGGCGGACTATGAAGGAACGTATCCGCCGACGAACACTGTTTCCTACGACCAATCAATCACTTCGTACGGCAATTCAGGAAGAATGGGAAGCAATTTCTCCTGATGAGCTTGAGTCTCTAGTAGACTCAGTTCCGGCACGTATTCGTGAAGTAAATCTCCTCCTCTTGTATAGTCAACCTGATGCTAACTACATACTCTACAGGTTCAGCTTGCAAATGGTGGTCATTCGGGATATTAAGGTCAAGTCATACTACCTTATTGTCCCTGGTGTGGGGGACCGCAGGAGGCTATTGGGAGTGGCCGGCAATCTGGGGATGTTGGATTGCCGATAGTGCATAGGATTAGGGACTCGGAGGTGTGCAGATATGGGTCACAATTGGCAGTTTTATGTTATTTCTTTTACATCTTTGAGTTATCCTATTAGGTATATGGTAGTTTGGTTCTGCGGCAGGTTTATTCTTAGTTGCCGGAGGTTGTGGAGGCTCATGATTTATCAGAATGTTTTTGTTCCTTTAGGTTCATTATTTTTCCATGATTATTTTTGCTTTGGAGATATATATCTCTTTGTCAGTCATTAGCTAACGATCACCATTTTTACCACATCTGTCGTCTCATTCCACCTCTCTCCGAGTCATTCATGCTTATTTTTCTACTTTACTACTATGTATCTTTCAGTTGCTTCTTCAGGAAAGTGAACTTGGTTTTAGTAGGAGGATTTCTTGGGTTCTCAGGGTTTCGTATAGGACCCCTAGGTATTTGTATTATTGGAATCTGAAATAGTCAGGTTTGACCATTGATACTTGTGGAGTATTTTTTCCCAGTTAGTCTTATTATTGTAGGCTTACTTTCACTCCTCTGCTCCGTTCTAATGTTACTTTGTTTTCCTATGGAATGAATTTGATGTCTTAGACATCCCTGCTACTTGCACCTTGTACGAAAACATCTTGCCTGGTGCTTGTACGTGCTAGGGTAGGGAGAGGGTTGTTTGTAGATCCTAATGATACGGCATAGTCTAGGCATATCAAACAGGTGCGGTATTGTATCAAAAATATTCTATCAAAAAGAAAGAAGCAAGGCGCAAAAGAAAATGAATGAATGAATGAACAAGTGGAATACCGCACCGACAATCAGGGATAGTAAAAAAATAAAAAAAATAAAAAATGGAATTTTTGAAGAAATGCTATTTTTGATGCGGTTTCGTTTTGAATATTATTTATTTATTTATTTATTTATTTATTATTCCGCTTTTTTTTTTTTCTTTTTTTCTTTTTCGGAGGGGGGGTTTCCCCGCATTTTCTCGGGGGGGGTTTTTTTTTTCTGGTAACTGACATAATTACGGTTCTGATACGGTTAACTTTTTGGGTGGGGTTCCCGTGATGGGAATTGACAGATTGCGGTTTTTTTTTCTCTCTTTGGTTTTTTCGATTTTGTTGTGGTGTGTATTGTAACCGTATCGTACAGGAGCTTTGGAGCTTAGGAGATTAGGGATAGTTACTACCGTGGTACGTAACTTTACTAGTACGATGCGTGGTTGGTATGCTTAGGTAGAGAGCTACGGGTAAGTTAGGTATGATACGGTTCCGCAGCAGAGTTGGCCTACGGTATCACAGCTGGAAGTACTGTATCGTTATCACGAGAGCTAGTCTATGGTATAGTAGCGTACCTCTCCGACGGGGGAGGAAATGTTGCATGCCGGTCTACTCTACAGTTACTCCGCAGTACCGTACGATATCATACAGGGATAGCTCCTCCATCTATAAAGTACGAGTACCAGCCCAGCCCAGCCTAGCACGGTACGAGTACAAGTACTTGTACAGTACTCCACCACCGTAGTAATTACTCTGCCATGAAATCACCCCCATCAATACAATAATACCCTACCAAAAGAAGTTAATCCGTTCCTGCCTGACTAACCCGAGAAACAGCATCCTCGAAAAATACCATGACCAACCAAACCCGTTCCTGAGGAAAAAAAAAAAAAAAACAAGCCCCCAAGACCTCAGACCAAAAGGTGAGCAGGGAAAGAAAAAAAAAGTGGATGGGTGGGGTTCAAAAGAAAGTTGGTTCCTGCTCCCTTCTCGGCGTCGGCTGCATTGCAGCAGGGATTCGGAGAAAAGAGAGGAAAAGAAAGGAAAGGAGAGGAAAAGAAAAGAA